CAGAGGAGGGCGACTAAAATGGTGAAGGGTTTGGAAACCATGCCCTATAAGGAATTACTTAGGGAGCTGGGTATGTTTAGCCTGGAGAAGAGATGGTTAAGAAGTGATATGATAGCCCTGTTTAAATATTTGAAGGGATGTCATATTGAGAATGGAGCAAGCTTGTTTTCTGCTGCTCCAGAGAATAGTACCCAGAGCAATGGATGCAAGCTCCAGGAAAAGAGATTCCACATCAACATTAGGAGGACCTTCCTGACAGTGAGAGCTGTTTGACAGTGGAACACACTCCCTTAGAGACTGATGGAGTCTCCTTCTTTGGAGGCCTTTAAACAGAGGCTGGATGGCCATCTGTCAGGGATGCTTTGATTTTGAGTTCCTGCATGGCTGGGGGTTGGACTGGGTGGCCCTTGGGATCTCTTTCAACTCTATGATTCTATGATTTTATGTAGAATTATGGGAATCCAGATGCTGTATGACTGCCGCTCACAGCATTCCTCATCACTGGCTAATCTGGCTATGGCTGATGGAAGTTGCAGAACAAACAACATGCAGAGTACCCCAGGATGCCCTTTCCTGATCTAGAGTTCCAAACAGAAATAAGACGTCTTTCTTAACAGATGAAAAGGAAACCCTTTAAACAGACATGCTAGAATTTGAACTTTGGACCTTCTGCACAGAAGCAACCTTTGATGAATGCGCACTATATGAGAGCCAGAGCAGGCGTGACAGTGTTGTCATTGTTGTTAATTGCCAACAAGTCAACTTCAGCTTATGGCTATGCATGAATGAATGAGAGATCTTCAAGATCCCCTGCCCATCAACTGCTCTGCACAGGTTGCAAACTTAGAGCTGTGGCTTCTTTGATTGATAAATCCATCTGTAGTGCCATCTTTTTCCTAACTCTTCCCCCATACCAAGCACTATTGACTTTCTCAGGAGTCACATCATCCCATGCAATGGCCTCAGTTAATTCCTCTTTGTCTCTAATGTATTTAATTATAATTAAATGAGACCCTGACCAGCAGTCCTTTCTTGGTGTTTCAAGAATAAACATGGCTCCTCTGAAACAAAACTGAAATCTCCATGTGACACCCAAAGCAAGAAATGTGTCCTTTTCTGGGTTGTACTGACTATTAAGGGATTTACCAGTCCAGAGGATGGGGGTGGGTTGGGGTGGTGGATCAGATTCCCAATACAGAAATTACAGCAATTCCAAGAAGATAGAAAAAGAAAACAACAAGACCTACATAAACAAACAAACAATCATGAAAGCAATAGGATTGTGCATTTCCCCCTGTGACCTCAGCTGAACACAGTCAGACTTACTTCCAAGGAAATATGTGTAGGATTGCAATGAATGATTCCAGTTCATGGTTCATGTATCCCCAACTGTACCTATTTAAGTAAGTACAATGACTTTTTCAGTGCTAGATGCTCACGGCTGTGCGTGGAAACTGAACTTGTTATTGTGGGATTTTCCTTGGCAAGGTTTCCTGTTTGGCTACCACAATATTGCCTCTCACATCTGAGACCTCATCCATGCCACATACCCTCCAGTGCTGATCAATCCTCTATCATCCCACCTTTTCAGCTGCTTTTAAAATGTCCTAGCTTCCTTCTCATCCTCCCACTTTCCCCCTGTGTCCTGACTTGCTTCAACTGCTGCAAACTGAATTCAAAGCACAGTGGCTTGCATTTAGTTATTTCAGCTGGGAAAGCAGAGAGGAAGGTGTTGAATCTTGCCCTCCTCTGTAAACTTTGGCAAAAACATCCTCTCCTAACTTATGTGCTCTTCCTCAATAACAACTTTTACCATCTGGACCACACTCTGATATTCCTTGACTGCATTTATCCCAGTTTTCATCTGTGAAATGTTTGTTTATTCATTTCATTTCTATGCTGCCTTTCTCCCAAGAAGGGGCCCAAGGCAGCTTACAAGATTAATGTTGGACAAGATGTTGTTGACATTTTGATCAATTTGCAATTGTAACTGGGGAATTTGCAATTGAGATATTGCAACAGTGGTTTCCTTTGGAAAGAAATGCTATGTTCATATCATGTGCAACCTATGAACAATATGCTTTGTAGAGAAAATGTTGCCACCATGATCAGGATTTGTGGGATTCTCCACTCCTTTTGCTCTTCTGGCTGATGTTAGATGAGCTTAGCCAAGCAACCAATCTTCTCCATGAACAAGCCACCAGTTTTTCTGT